TAGTACATTTGTAAATACAACTACATGAATACTAACATATTTGCTTACGTAGACACATACCAAACCATGCTTGATTCTCGACATGGGTTTCGGTGGCTTTACTTCCATGCGCAGCACCTTATCCCAGTCGACACCACGGAACCACTCGTGACCCATGATAGCCTCAAACCCACTGTGTATTGTTGATAGAGTTGTGAGTAACATAATACATTACGCACATGAGGTAAAACTATGCATAGTACGCAAAGTGAGCCTCAAAATACAAACCACTGGGCTGGAAAGATATGATAGTAGTCGAAGTGGATAAGCGCAGAGAGTGTGTGGGAGTCAATGTGGACTTATACGGGGTAACGAGAACACAACAGTGCAAGACCGTATACAATGATCCAATATAATATATATATATATATATATATTAATATATATATATATGTGTGTGTGTATATATGATATGCTATAATTGAACATGCACTACCTTTTATTGAACAAGGCCAAGTAAAACTTTAAAAAAATCACGTGCAAACAGAGCTGAACACACAAGCTTCGCAACCAAAGTAGTCCGTTGCTATAAACCCGTGTTCATGCGTGATTTATGTGAAAGGGCGCACTATACACATATGCTGTACGTCAGGGCGGGTATAAAACCAAATGATACTGCCGTACTAAAAATTACGAGGTTTATAAACATACAAATGTAAACCCAAAATATAATGACTAGGACATTTGATAGCCAGCGAACGGGAATTAATTATATACACACATCAATAAAGACATGACATACGATCGCAAGAGAGCTTTTCACACTCACCCACTATGGCCCAGACGACTATCCGCATCAGCGACTAATAAGCTGACTATGAAGTCTTGAGCAGCTGGCGTTACCCATCCCGGTATCTTAAATCTAGACTGTTTAACATCTGAGAAATTTGCTCGGCCCGTGCGTGGGTTGAGCGTTACAAAGGGAGGGAAACCACATAGTAGCTCAAAGGTCAACACTCCTACGGCCCAGTAGTCCGCTTCTCTGCCATAGCCTTGGCCCTACACGGGGTACGTTCAATAGTATATGACAATGAGCAGGATATATACTTTTGAACTTGAGTGGACGTATGTATATGTTGTAGCTGTGACTGTGGTATAAATCTGTACATAGGTCGTTGCAGGTCGTTACTTATGGTCACATGCACATAAAAACACGTACATAGAGGGAAAGAGCCACACACAAACACACACAGAGGGATACATTCAAACACAAAAACAAAAACACAAATACAAACACAAACACAAACACAAACACAAACACAAACACAAACACAAACACAAACACAAACACAAACACAAACACAAACACATACACACACACACACACACACACACACACACATATATATATATATATATATATATATGTGTGTGTGTATGTGTGTGTGTGTGT